AGGCAGTAACACTGTTTATTTGTCCTGCATAGTAAGTACGTCACCTTCCTAATTCACTCCTTGATACGAAACATTCCTGCAGGGGTTTGGAACCAGTTCTTCCTTTGATACAGTGGTTGCAAGGAATGTGGCTGATAGCCAGGGAAAGTGGAACAGACGAAGGGAGCTGTCAGGCAAAAGACTGCGGTGCCGTCATTTGGCCTTTGCAGTAGAGACGTGATGTTCGTTGCTGGCATTTCTGGTGCTCCACTTTTATATCAGTTTTCCTCTCAGAAATGCCTGCCATAAACTCAGGTTTTCATGGATTTCCTAGTTGCAGTCTCCAAAGGGAGCAAGTAGAAATGCTTGAGGATCTTTGGGAACCAAGTAGGTGAGGATGTGTGCTTGCAAGCAATTCTGGCTTCAGCACTGCTGATGCTGATTTTGCTGTTGGGTGTGCCCTAGTGGTTAACCAGCACTTCCATATCTGTAAATGAGGATGCTTTGCAATATTGCTGGGAATGTAGGATTATGGGTAATATACAATTTCTTTGATTCCTGTTACGAGGTCTGCCTTCAAAAAAACCCCAAATTTGAGTGCAGTCTGTTTATGAGGACCATAGTGAGGCTATCCAAAACAAAGCTTCTAGGTTGCTTTTTTTTTTCCCCACAGGATAACACTCAGCAGGCTTTCCAGCAGAACCAAAACCTGGGATTTATTTGAAGGGGTTTTGTGTTCTTACAGTGAATAGAAAAACTTGTCCAAGCTTATCTGAGGAACTACTCTCACTCCTGCCTTCTTTAAGCTTCTTTAAGTATTAGTTGTGTGCATCTGAAATGCTTATTCTTCTGACATAGGAAATCTGAACATAATGGCAAAAAAATGCTTTCAGAGGCAAAAAGCAAAATGTAATGCAGTGCAGACTTCCCCTGCTGATCGTGGCTGTTTAGTGGATGAAGACAGCCCCATCTGGTTATCCTCAAGAACATAAGTATGGCAGCTATTGGAAACAACAATTGCTGCTTCTTACTCTCTCTTTTTTTTTTCTGTGTGTAAACTGGGTGAATTTTTCTCTTCATTTTACAAAGTGGAGATAATTTGCTACAGAGCAGCTGGCAATGCTGATTTTACTACTCCTTATTCAGCATCCAGCATTGTCCCCCAAGGTGGAATTGACCTGTGCCAATAGTGGTTGCTATAATTAAAAGGTTTAGGATGAGAGAGCGATGTGCCTCATGTACTGTCATTCAGTGCTGAAATCTAATGTCCTTTTTCTTCTACAAAGACCTGTAGGCTGCTACCATTCCCCTCTTAAGATGACCACTTGCAGCACTTCTTGCAAAGTAAACATATCTATGAAATAACTCTCAATCTGAGAAAATGCCTGTAGGGAGTCCTTGTAGTTCCCACTTCAGTGTGTCCTGGAATCGAAACTTAGAATTAATCTGCATGGCATTTTAACTGGCTCTCTATTGGTGTTCCATTACCACAGTTATTTCACGCACTAGAGGGAGGTGATCTCGAACCTTAGTTTTGATTCCTGATTTTTGCGTTTGTAGGGACCAGCAGCACTAACACAGTCGGGGCTGCGGTGAACAGCCAAGCGCCCCAGACTCAGCCCACTGCTATCGCCTCGAGCCGGAAAGGGACTTTCACAGATGACCTGCACAAGCTGGTCGATAACTGGGCCCGGGATGCCATGAACCTGTCTGGCAAGAAAGTTGGCAAAGGGCATAGTAGTTATGAGGTAAGATGTGATCCGTGAGCGTTTATGGTGGGAAGCTGTGGGGTTGTTGCTGTCACACAGCGGTGTCAAACACAGCTGGAGCACAGCTGCTGTGCAGCTGGGACAAGTGCTCTGGGAAACCGTGAGCTGGCTCTTTCTGTGCCTGCTCTGGAAGGGAAGGGGGTAACTGAAGAGGAGGGGACCGTGGCTTGTCCTTGAAAACACCCACTGGGAACAGCCTGTGGACCACGGGGCGGACGGGTGGTTTTTAAGCACGGTTACGTAACTTCTCTCGGCGGTTGGGTTTTCTTTCAGGCCCCTGGCATGGCAAGAAAATTCTCGGCACCAGGTCAGCTCTGTATCTCTATGTCATCTTCCCTGGGTGCTACGCCCATCCCTGCAGCATCAGCTACCTCTTTAGGTCCCTTCACAAAGCCTATATGCCCTCCGCAGCCGTACGGTTATCCAGCAGCGTCTTTCCCCGCTCCGTGGAGCGGGGCGGGCGGTCCAGCACAGCCACCGCTCGGCCAGTTCCAGCCCGTAGGTGCCGCCTCTTTGCAAAGCTTCAACATCAGCAGTTTGCAGAAGTCGGTCAGCAACCCCCCCGGCTCCAACCTGCGGACCACTTAGCCCTGCTCGGAGACCGCGCTGGCGAGACCTCGGGACAGGACGTCGGGAGGGAGATGGGGCCCTGTATCAACTACTAGTGCTGCAATGAACTGGTAGCTTGCCAGACTGGGAATGAATTTATCTTTTCCAACCGTTGCTGTCAACTCTCTGTTAAGGGGGTTTCCCCACACACTTGGAAGGGGGAGGAGGATGATCAGCATCCTTGTGATGGGACAGTGCTTTTCACCGAGGGGGTCCTGCTCTTGTGTGGAACGAGAGCTGTGAAGAGGAGTCATGGGGTCAGTTAATACAGTCTTGCTGTAAATTTTTTCTCTGGTTTGAAGCTGAATCCATATGTGTTGAGGTGGGAGAGCTGAACCCTAGCATGAGGCTTTAGCATGCTTCTCGCCTCTCCCTGAAGAACCAAGATCAGGAAAAAAGCTGTCCAAATTCCCCTCCTCTCCCTCTCCCTGGTCAATCGTATCTGGCTCTGAAAAGATGGGGCACACAAATGGACTTGCAGTGCAGCCCGTGCTTGATAGGTCATTACTGCTTTAAGTAAGATATTAACAGCTTTGACTGCAGCATTAGAGCAATTTAAATTGTTTAAAAAAAAAAAAAATTTAAAAGTTCCCTGCGGACATGTACTTACCATCAGTTTTGATGTGGAAACACTGTGATATATAAATGTTGTTGGACAACAGTAGTTTAAAAATGAGTGGAATATAGAGGGTTAAAAAAGTTAAAAAGAAAAAAATGGGAAAAAAAGCTAGCTATATCCTTATACTTATTGGAGACACTTTAACTTTTTCCTTTGTATTTTCATTGTATTAGATAAATAAATGTGAATGTAAAATTGTATAAATTAATGTACTTGAATACTTGTCTGTTCTCCCAGTATGCTTGCTGGATATTTTAGTGCCTTGGACTTCTATTGCTTCTGCAGTTTAGCGTCGTCTTCCCAGCAGGCCCCAGGTGGGCAGAGGGCAAGTTGAGTGAGGGGTGGCTTTGTTTGTACCCAGCGCCTGGGACGCTCCGGGTCCCGGTGCCGCTCGGAGCAGGGGCGTGGAGGGGGAAGCCGTTGAGGCCACGGGTTGGAACAACGTTCTGTGTGTGGGGGAAGCTTGTCCAGGCGGGCAGATCTGAAGTTGCTGGTGTGACAGGGGCCAGGTGGGGGAGGGACGGAGGGTTGTGGGTGAAGCTAAAACGAGACTAACCAATATTGTCTGTGGAGGCAGGAGGTCTGGATCAGAAGCGGAGAGAGGATGGGGAGAACGTGTATCTTTGGGGAAGGCCCAACTTAAGATGCAGTTTGACTCCACCTGCAAAGTGGTAAAGATGTTTGGTTAGGATGTGGATTGAGGGAGAGGTGCCATTGCTCGTTGGCATGGGCTTGTCTGCTGGGATTGCTTTTCTTACCTTTTTTTTCCTTTTTTTTTCTTTTTTTTTTTTTTCTTTTTTTTTTTTTTTTTTTTTTTTTGTTTTTTTTGTAAAATTCATTTAAGCCAGGAACAGACTGTCCTGGTGCAACGTCCATTGCCGGCAATGGATGTACTTGAAACAGCCGGCATCAAGAAGTTTCCTCTGTGTGTCTTGGAGGATTTACAATTTTGTTCACTCTTAACAAATTTCAAGCTGGTACCAGGACTGTCACTGTCTGTCACCTCTTAGTACCTGTACTGTATCTTCTGCTTTGGTCATTCTCCCTTTTCATATTTAAGAAATACTGGTTTCCTCTTCAAAGTCAAAATAATACCAGCCAGTATTTATGTAGTGCTGCAGAAAGCTGTGAGGGATCAGAGTTCTGCTTCCCAGTGCTTGGCAGCAGCTCGCCGGTACCCTGGAAGCTGGTGCCTCACAGGGTTGTTACTTGCCCACGTTGTTTTCTCGGAGCGCTGTTCCGCCCCAGAGCCTTATTAGGGAGCTTTTGTGTCTGTGGATGTTCTCACTTTTACAAAGAAACGTGCGAGCTCCGTTCCATTCCTGTCGCTGTTTCACAGCAGTTTTGGCAGCAGGGCCAGGCTGGAGGAGCCGCTCCGGGCCCTGAGGCCGGCGTTGGTTCTGTGTAGCAGGTGCAGGCTGGAGCTGCAGGGGGACAGAGAGGAGGCTCGAGGGGTGTGTTGGAAGGGGGCAGAGCAGGGTCCCGGTGGCTGAGGCGGAACGGGAACGCCTGCTCTTCCATCTGCAGGGATGCAGAGGAGCCTCTTGGGCATGGCCACTGGAAATGGGAGCGGTGACAAACCTGAGGCAGTAATGAGACAAGGGGAATATTCATGGCAGAGGAACTGGTCAGCTGGATGCAGCACATGGTTATTTAAATTTGATCTAATAATTTTTGAGGTCGTTTTTTCACTTAATGTTATGCAAGAACTGGTTTCATTTACCATTGATTTTTTTTTTATTTTATTTTTTTTCCTCCCTCCCTCTCCTCCTGTGGATGAATAACTGAAGTCTAGAGGAATAAACTAATGCTACTGAACTGTTAAATTATTTTGTTTAATATTACACTTTGAGTATCTTTTTCCACATAAAATCTGTTTCTGAATTACAAGCGTTTTCTTTACATTATTTAACAATGTACACTGTAAAAAATAAAAATAAAAAAAAATAAAATTAATTGAAACTTTGGGCTTCCCTGGCCGTAGTTAGTCGTGTGTTTTGCACTAAACCCAGGCGCTGCGCTTCTCTTCTCGCTGCGCCCTGTGCTCCAGTTTGTCACCTTTGTAGGCTATTGAATGTAGGCTATCAGGAGCCTTTGGCCTTTAATAGGATACTCCAAAACAAGGTACTACAAGGAATCATTTGTGGAATGAATCTTTAGGAGAGGAGTGGCCTGAGGGAGTGGGAGGGAGAAGCTGTGCAGGATAATGGATCAGCTGTGGGAGTGTCAGACTTGCCAAACACACTCAGCTGTGACAGACAAGGACTTGGTGGCACTCCCTGTTGCAAGCACAGGTGGAGGTGAGGTCCTGTGCTTGGTTTTGGCAGTGAAGCAAGAGCAGGGGTGCTGCAAGGCTGGGGGGAGTGCCTTTCCCGGGGGCTTTCCCTCTGCTGGCTCCCCTGCCCTTCGCTCTGGGGTGGACGGGAGCAGGGATGTGCACCTGTGGGGCTGGGGAGAAGGAGGTCACTGAGCTTTATAACAGGAATTCAGTCCTCAGATTTGTGGAACTACTTCACAGGGTCATTCTCAACTGTAGACTTGCAGGAATTTGGTATTTCTAAACACGAATTGCTGCTGCATTTCTTTCCATTTTAAGAGCAGCTTCTGTTATGAGTCATGCTGCACAAGGCCTCAAAGGGGAAAAAAGCTCCAAGTATAAGTTTTCCTGCCCTTTTCAAAGGGACCAATCCCGAGAGGCTCCTTGTGATGATCTCTCTTAGGGGAGGCACAGCTACACTGGCACTGTTTCCAGAGCCAAGAAAGCTGAGGCAGTTACGTTTATATGAGACTTTTGAATGTTTTTCATTGTGACAGCGTGGAGCAGCTTTGAATCCAGTAACTCTGAATGTCTGCACATTCCCTTCCTTCCTAGCAGGTATATGGTTTCAGCAGCGAGTGCGTGACTCAAACACATGGAATGTGTTTCTTCCCTGAGCTGTTCCGAAGGCAGAACTGAATTGGCAAGAAATGAGTACGGTGAAATGTGAAACTGTTTTTAGATATAATCTATTACCATTCATTACACCTTGTCCTGTCTTTCTGTGCTGTTCCTTGTCCTGTTGAGGAGGTAAGTGGATAGTAGAGGATCTTTTAAGGGAAAAGGACTGATTAAGTGGTGAAGGTAGTGTAGGAGGAACAGGAATAAATGTTGAGTATTTCAAAGGTGTTTACATTTAGACAGAGCAGTGATGGCAAAGCACAGGTGCCTGAACCCTGATGTGGTGGTGGAGCTGCAGCTGAACCACTTCACTACAGAGGAAGAGAACAAGTATTTCAGCCCAGCAGAACTCCTCCCTTTTCAGCATGGAGCTGCTCCAAATGGATACAGGAGTATTATTCCAATAGTGCTTAAAAATTCTTCCTTTGACCTTCTTACTAGAAGGAACAGCTGTTGGCTCTGCTCTAACCTTTAAACCCTGTGAGGTTTTCTGTTTGCCCATCCTAAAGCAGACGTGAGGCTGTGCAGATGTGGTGGTTCCTCCTTAGCTTCCAGTCGGAACGTGTTAACTCCTTTGAGACTGTCGCACAGGGAGCGAGTTGTAAAGGCTGGAAGGGCACAGAGACACAAACAGCTCCCAGCGTGGTTTGTTTTGCAAATTTCATGTTTATTTCTGTACTGAGAAGGGCCGAAAGCTTATTTAAAAACAGAAGTGCAGCTTCCATTCATTTCCCAAAGGATCCGAGCAAACACTGTCTGCGATGCCACACAGTGTGGGCAGCAGTCCTGGTGTGCTCCTGCCCTGTGCCACAGGCAGGGCTGGACGTGGAGCTGCTGCTGCTGCTGCCTGGGATGGCTGAGGAACAGGCTGAGGAAGAGTGATGGGCTCTGTTTGTGCAGCCACAGGGAAAAGGCTGGGCTGCACCTCGGATGCTGCCACAGCGTCACACCCTCGGCCTCGCCGATGGGCAGCCACAGGTCGGATGTTCTGTCCTCTGACCATGACCCACCTGCTCCCCATTTCATTAAAAATCTCTTTCCTCTGTGCTGAAATGTAGCACTGAGGGAGAGAGAGAGAAGCTATAAATTGCACCTCATTTTTAACAATTCATTCTGTTCCTGTTTCAGGCAAATTACACGTATCGTCCACCAGTGCTGCAGAGGCACAAATGATTGCTTGTTTATAGAAAAAGGCCTCTGAAATGCGTAATAACTTAAAAGTACATGAAGTTCTTGCTGGCTGTACGAAACTCTTCTCTGTTGTTTCACCACAATACACAGCAAACTCCATTTGACACAATTTGAAAAGCCAGCTGCAGTCCTGTGATGGGGGTACGGGTGCCTTACGGAGGTTCCAGTCTCCTTTTCTTCAAGCTCTGACTTCTCCCGAGGGGGCTGCACCCTGCCAAACAGGGAGAGAGTGAGAGATGGAAGTTTGTTAATGCTTTTTTTTTTCTGCTTCTAAAAGCACTCCTCAATTCTTTGTCCTGTTCTTCCCTGATAGGGCAGTAGGATGGAAAAAACCAGACAGTTCTCCGAGCCCACTGTCACAGCACCTGCAGCCAGGTCCAAGGAAAGAGGAATGTTTCTCCTGCTCCACTAACCTAACAGCGCTGCTTTCAAAGCCGAGAGCTGTTGTTAGGACAAGAACTCAGCCACTTTTTGGCAGCACCTACCTGGGCTGTGCTGGTTGGCGCTGCTGTTGCTCGTGGCTGTAGCAGGTGTCTGCAGCTGTGCAGGTCTGGCAGAGGCTTTGTGGTGGTTGGCTCTGTGGGGTGTCCTGTTGCGGGTCCTCGTCGGGTGATGTCCGGGGGCTGTTTTAGGTGTCTGGTGTCCGGCTGATGACGGGTCTGCCATTTGGGCACCTGTTACCTTAAGCTCAGTGCTCTCCAAGGAAATGTCCCAGAGTTCAGGGTCATCTGGAATGAAGGAGAAGGTGATCTGTGACGACAGTGTTGTACTACAGGAGCGACAGTAACTCCAAGATCAGCACACTCTTTTCCTACAAGCGGTGGCTGCTATAAAATTTAATCTGTAAAGCATCTTTTATGTCAGTGCACAACAGGGAAATGGTCCTGCCCCTTGGGCTCTGGACTTAGGCAATGGTCTGACACAAACAGCCACAGCTGTAATAGGAAAACACACCCACCCCACCCACAAAGATCTGTTTCTGTGCAGTATCACCTTAAGAAAAGGGTTTACCAAAGAGATAGAACAACTCTACTCAGGAGCCTAAGTGGGAAACCCCTCATAGTGATGGACATCATCTCCCTGCCACTCAAGCAAAGTTTGTATGGTGAAGATCAGATTCATACTTACACTTCTGTTATTCCAGTTCCTTGGAACTTTTACCTCTCACTGTATTTTGAAGAGCTGATTTAAATATTAATGATTTAATACTTAGCACTTTTTGGCTGACCTGCAAAGAACTCCTCTTCTATTGCTAGCTCCTGTTGTACTGCTGCTGGAGTGCTGTGTTTTATGGGAGGATCAGATGTGGCTGGAAGGAGGTAACACAAGAAGAGATTAATATCAGAAATACAGAAGAACCCTTTGCTCCTTCTTAACAGAGCACGAGTCTGAAATGATAACCAGCAGCTGTACCAGGTATGCTGTTTTTTCCTAGAGCTGGTTATGACTTTGTAGCAAGGTGTAAAACAGTAAGATTCTGTATCTGATGATGTCTGACAAGAGCAAGCGTGCTACTTTTTAACATGGTTCTTTTTAGCCTGCTTCCCCCACCTCCAGGTTCCAGAATTCCCCATGAGTAAAAGGCAACATATCAGTGGCTAATCTTTGCCTGCAGCCTCAGCTCTGGTGCAGCAGGTTCATGGTGCTGACAACAGTTCTAGGCTGGCTGGAAAGTTGCAGTTTTAATGATACTGGCTCCTGCCGTTTCAAGAACATAGTGGGAAAGGATGATAATTCTCCTTCCTTTGGCCTCAAAGGTGTGTTGATGTCTCAGTACAAAAGCACCTGAAGCTGGTCAGGCTCCTGTACTGAGGGTAAGGTGTGGCTGCCAGCAGCTGTCCTGGGAACTGCCAGTTTTTAGTGCCATGTCTTACCCTGTTTGCTGTTGGGAGTACCTGCTGGAACCTGATGGTTTCTCTCCATCTGTTCCCGGAACTGTTGCTGTAGCTGCTTCTGTCGCAGTTTCCGCTGGTAAGTGGCATCACACTCCGTGGCCAAGGAGTCTGTGTTCCTGTCCCTTCCCCCGAGCAAGCACAAAGTCAAACAGGATTTCAGCCATTACATCTTCTGAAGAAAACATTCATTAAGAAATAACAGTAAAGAAAATCCACTGAACTAGTGGTTTATGGCATCTTTGGGATTGGGCTGTCCGTGTGTTCTAAGAGGAACGGTAACTTCTAATACAGATTATGAAATAACTGTGTAATGGCAGTCTCACCTGGGACTATTTGGCTGTTTCTCATGTACTGTCACCACAGCAGCCTCTGTGTGACCAGGCTCACAGTGAGATGCCACCCCGCAGTGCTGTCTCCCTGCTGCGTTCTGCCTTTCCAAATAGCTGGTGTATCTCGCTTTCTCTATTTCAGGCTCGTAGTCCTGTATTTTAGCTTTGACCAAATTTAACTCAGGGGGTACCTAATAAAGGAGGGGGGAAAAAAAGGGAAATGTTCAGAAATTGCCATTATCAAATTAAAGAAATGAGCACAGGTTGTTTCCATACAAGCTGTTAAAAATCTATTTTGTTTGCTCCAAGTCGAACAGTAAGTTAGAAAACTGAAATGCTTTTTCAGTACACGGTAATTCAGTTTGTTAATCACCGAATTCAGGGGCCTTTGTGTTAGTTTAATCCCTTGGTGCTTCAGGGCAGATAGCCCCTGTCTCCCCACACTGTGCCCTGCAAACAAGAACAGGTGATCAATTTTACAGCTTCTGGTGGAGTCCCACGAGGCTGCTGCTGAGTCTGTCGGTTCTACCAGTTCTGTTTTCACACTTGTGTTAAAGGGCACAGCAAACCTTGACTCAGTTCTGCAGCCACGAGGCCTCTGAGGAAGCCACACCATTCCTGTTTATTAAAGATGGGATGTTTTGGCTCTGATTTTACAAATTTGTGGCAATGCCTCTAACAGACAATGACCCTGGTGACGGCAAAGCAGAGATTTGGGCCGTCTTCACTTGGTGAGGTGTGACTTTGGGTCTGCTCCTACAGTCTTTAGCTAGACAGAACCACCTTATAGCTCTGGGCATCTACTGGAGTGTGGCAAATCCTAGTGTGACTGAAGGAAACTTTAGTATGAAACTCCATGGATTAGCAGTTGTAAAAGGCTTCATTTTTCCTCAGTCCACAAGGTAGGTCACTGCCTAGAAACCTCCTGACCCCAGCTGGAGCTGGCAAGATCCATGTGGGTTACTGAACTGCCACTTCAGGAACAGCCAGGACAACTTGGATACTGTGAGGACTGTTATGTCACAGCACAGCACACAAAGAAGGTTACAAAATAGTTGTCACTGGTGAAGATGGACATCACATTTTATTGTATGTCCCTCTGGACCAAAGATCTCCAGAAGAGGCATTTCTCCATGGTGCTGGTTACCTCAGAAGGTTCACTGACCTGATGTTTCACAGGGGGTAAAGTAGTACCTGCAACTCCTTTTCCTTGCAAACTGAAACATAAGGAGTTAAGGAGTCCAAAAAGCAAAGCAAGATGTAATGTGGTTTCTTATTGTTTGTGAAGGGTAAGAACCATAGTTCGTGTTCAAGCACACATCAGTTTTACGTGCTAATTCTTCACACATTGAAGAGCCAGTTTGTCAGCTGTATCACATCAAGTATTTAACACAAGTAAATAAGACTGCAGATCTTCCTAATATTATTCCTCATCCTCCAACAGCCAAGGCCAGCATATCCTGCTCTCATAATTCAGCTGCAAAACTCAGCTATCAGCACAATTTGAAGTGAGGCAGAGGACATTTGCAGGGCCATTTGTACACTCCTTGTGTACCAACACAGAACAGTGTTACCTGTTCTGCTGTTCTGTGGTAAAACCCTGAAATGACTGGCAGCAGCTGGAAGTTGTCGTGGGTCCAGTCTAAACAGTTTAGTTCACCCTTTCTATCACAGAGGCATCTAATAGTCTGCAGTGTTCTTTTGGGAAGGAGCCAGTTTGGTTAATGCATGGGTTACTGGCATTAAACAGAGAGATGTAGACAACATGGCCATAAATGTCACACGAGATTTTTGAGTCAGGTACTTTCTTCTCCACAGCAAACTTGCCTGCTGCAAGGAGTCAAAATTTGGAGTAGATGTGGTAAAACTCTGCCTGCTGGTTTGTGTGGGCTGTTTGTTACAAAGGCTGTTGCTCTCCAGGCTGGTAACATTCAGGAATGACATGCACTGATATCACTGTTTACAATCTTTACAGCATGAAGGACCAGGAGCAGTGGATGTTGTGCAGTCCCTGCTCTAACAGCCCGTGTACTGCACCTGACGTGGAAGCTTATTCACAGCTCGTAGGTAGTCCTTGTCTAGGATGCAGTTCCCAAGAGCATTCCCAAAGCACCTGAGAAACAAGAGAGCTCACTGTGACTGAAAAATAACACTTCACTCTCACGTAACTTCTGAAAATGTACCAGTACTGATCTGCTACTTACTTGAGTGCCCTCTTCAGTCCATCTGTTACTGCCTCCTTCCTTGCCTTTTCTAAGGATAAGGCCTTGGACTTCAGGCCTTCGCTGACTCCATATCCCACATCTTCATGGTATGACCCATCCTGCAGTAAAATATTAAGTAAGCATAAGGGAAATTCTACACATACAGCACTTGTTGTTGGGTGCTGCGCTTTCCTAAGCCTGATTACTTGCTCTTAGCTGGTTGTTCTATAGCAGTGCCCATGTTTTGGACAGCACTAAGTTTCCTGCTGCAGTGCAGTACTCCAGGACCACAGTCTGACCTGTGCAAGACCTTTCATTCCCAGCTTCTGACAACTACTCAGCTACAGACAGAGCAAACAAAAAAATCCACTTACCTTAAGCTGAACTTTGACAAAGGCACAGACACCCACATAGAACCTGCCGTTGTTGAGGTCAACAAAGTCTAGGAGAGGGAAAAGCAACATCCTAAATAATACAAAAGGCTTCTGCTCCACATTCAGTTTTTTGTCCATTAAGGACGTTCATAAACCTGTACCATACTTGCTGGAATGTTCCTGAGATATTGTACCATCTTCTGTAAAATGGAGCATGACTTACAAAATATTAACTGTAGCTTGAGAATGCTGACATATGAAAGAAGAAAGAGTTGCAAATGTTACTTATCATTCATATATCTATCCTAAACGCTTAAAGAATAACAATTTTTTTCAGCTGGAGAGATTTTAAGGGTTAATTTCTATAAAAAACAATGGAAAAGAAACTGCAGTCTATACAAGTAATTTCTTTCCTATTACATACCAGAAGTTTCCAGTTTGTAAAAATTTGCACAAATGTTTTATCCAGGACAGAATGCCTGAAGAGCTGAACAGGTTGCAATACAACTCTCAATCATAATCTCTAAAGTGCCTTTCTTCACACCAAAAGCAATGCTAAATAATACACAGAGAGCACTTTAGTTAGCAAGTCTTGCAAGTCTAATAGAAACGTGACACGTGTCTGGAATAAAATTTGGAGTTCAAGTAACTTTGTTCTGGGGTCCAAGAAGTACTCCTTCTGTACTCATCTGGTCTATTTGTTTAATTGTTTTGTAATCCTGCTGAAGGTGCAAGCCCCCTTTTTCTACCCAGGATTTTAAAATGTAACAGAATCTTCTCGCTCTGGATTTTTAAGGAATGAATGGTTATGGCATTATTTGAAAAAGGTAGGAGTTTGAGGCATGTCAGTCCTTTCTTGACTAAAAAGAGGGAAAAAAAAGTGTTGCAGAATAGATGGAAAGCAATGAGGTAAGTTATTCTATTTCTAGAATCTACCAGGCTGAGTTAAGAAAAGATTTCTGAAGGTGGGGAGAAGGAAGAAGGTACTTTCAGAAGAGCTACTTTGACCTATTTCAACAGCCAGCCTTTAGCACAAGCACAGCAGATCTGCAAACAAGGAGAGGCTGAAGCTTTAACATCACCTGAACACAAAATTAGAGTTGAAACTTTTTTCTAAAGCTTTCTGTTATAAAAATCTCAGTACTAGGTATTAGCTAGCAGAGGAGTCTGCAGAAAAAGATGGGTCCCTAAAGATTAGGGGAATATTAACTGAGACTATGATCTGGTTAGAGTATAAAAATTACAGGTGAGTATGAAAGCTGGCTCAGGGCTGCTGGGTGTTAAATAGTTTAATTGTAATTACTCTTGACTGAGTGTTCCCACAGAGATCAGAGCCTCGATTAGAATACCTCAGTCATAAACACCCTTAGAGTAATGACTATGGCATGTAAAAAGAACACAGAAGCTCCATTATTATTCAATTTCTCTCATTTTTACTAATTGTTAAGGCACCTAGACATTGCACATGCCTCTCTCCGGGTTGTTTGGAATGATCAAGTTCTATGGTAAATACCCTGGCCCTTATCTGAGAGCCTTTCCCTTCACAGGGAAACAAGAGGAAGGAAAGATTTCTTTGCCCTCAAGAGGCACTCACCAACGTTCTGCTGAGTGACTGAATGGGCCCAGCCGTTGAAGCCAAACATCTCGTTGGCCAGACTGATGACCTTGTGACCCTCAATGTAACAGACCTGAAGAGAAAAGCAGCAATACATAAATATGCATATAAAGCCAGGGAGCTGGGCACGTTTCTCTACACACCGTGTTTTAAAAGAGGATTGCACGTGCCACCTCACACTGAGGGAAGCTGCCTGAGTTTGAGGTTCAGGTAATGTGAATGAAAGGATGATGGTGCTGCTGTAGGTTCACTCTCTTCCAGCAACTGTGATGGAGGTTAATATAACAACAAATCAATGGAAGGCACAGCTAGAGGACACTAAAGATGGTAGAACACAGCCAATGTTATACAATGCTTCAGATAGTCCAGTTCTGGGAAAATAGTAAGGAAAACATCTCAGTGTTGCACAAGTAGATAAACATTCCCTTGTAAAGGGTGAAGCACTGAAAAATTAAGTCTTGGTTTTTTTTTTGGTTTTTTTTTTAACTTTTTAAACCTTAGGGGGAAAAAATGGAGTAGAAACATCTGTGCATGCCCGTTCCTACCTTTTGTCCTCCTCCAGCCTGCCGACTGCTGATATAATCCGGACCCAGTCTCTGACGAAGAGCGTGCTGGATGGCTTGGTATTCACTGGCTGTGTAGTGGTACTGTTGATAAAAACAAGGTAAGACAAATCTTACTCTCCCTATTTTAGCTCCCTCTCTTCTCCTAATACCACTTCTTTATCCCAGTCCTTCCAAGAGGTGTATGATCCATTTTTAGAATCAGTTTCTAACAGACAAGGGAACACCTCATGGCATGTACGTGCATTAGATTGTTTGGGGTTTTTTTCCCCTCTTACTCTCAATGTATACAATTATTGAGCTGTAGCAACTATTTTTCATTAATAATCTTAGTCAGGCTTGCCACAAACACACATATAAGCTTCTATTTTACCTCTCAAAGCCAAAACATAATATCTCTGTGACCAACAGGAAAAGTGTATTTAAAAATTCCAACAAAAGCAAAGATCAACCTTACTCTAGGACCATATGCCATCAGGGCAGGGAGGACATAAGCTCAGGAAAGCAGTTAAAATCAGAATTTCTGAAGGAGTGTTCAGCAATTTTCCCTCATGGGAAAATCCCTTTGGATAACTCTAACATCACTTGTATCTTTAGAGAACATGAACATCACCAGAAGCCTAAAGTGTTGTAACTTTAGGCTTGTCTTTGTAGAAATGTAATTTGAAAAATGTAGTGGATCTGAGCACTAAAAAGCTTGTGTTGCTCTGCTCTGATGTGGGACAGAACAGAGGGTTTACCACCTAAATCACAGGTACTGTGTATGAATGTACTGGCTGCTCTAACAATTCAGAAGATCACAGAACCTTACAGTGTGTGTGTCATATAAATTCCAACCCCTGCCAAGCACATTGTATTTCTATTTGGTTCTACTCACACATAATTTGTATTTGGTTCTATTTAAACTTAAAGGAATAACTTTGCCTTTTTCTGACTCCAGAACACAAGCCTGTAACCAAAAAGCATAAAGAAAAAGGGAGGATGCCTGTGCCATGTTCAGGAACTGCATATAAATGCCTATCATGGAGAAGAGAATTCACCACCAAAAGCTCTGTTTAGTCCAGATATTTTTTTTTTCTGAATTACTTTACAATTTCTTAAAATAATTCTTTAGTAGCTGAAAGTAGTTGGCTTTTCTGAATCACTACTGAGAATGTGTGCGAGTATGATCCAGGCCATCTGGGACTAAGAGAGAATAAAACAAGACCCACTTTTGAGATTGAAAAACCTTCAGAGAAGAATCCCCAGCAATATATTACAACTTGAGGCATGCCAAGACCATCTCACGGATGAAAAATGTAATACAGAATTAGGTGTAGCATGAATCCAACCTCACTGGGTCCAAGTTTAAAATGAATGAACGTGCAGGGCAGATTTCCAGAAGTGTGAGCACAAAACTTCTACCTCCCTCCTGGGCAAAGGGAACTGACCTGTCCAAAGGAAGCACCTGAACTGTCAGTGCTGGCACTGTTGCTGCTGCTTGAGCTGTTGCCATCTTTCCTCTGGCTTTCAGGCATACCTAAAGGTAAGAGCAAATATAATTCCCTCTCAGATTCTTCAGCACTTCTTGGATGACTTTCAATATCTATTAATACTTAGGCTCTGAAAAAAAAAGCAGAGGTAACATTTTAAAACCTTTATTTTAGATTATTGCTTTGACTGCAATCAATCAGACTGCCTTGTTTTATGATGGTACCACGTAAACTGTGCAGAGCTGAAAAGCACACAGAACCTGTAAGAAGTGGTGCCAATAATTCAGTAGATGGCACCCTTTTCCAAGCCAGTATCCAACACTTCCCAGCACTGCACTCCACCCTGCTGGAGCAGAGGTCCCTGGGAGAGCGTGTACCCCAAGGGTGCCAAGGGAAGGCAGCAGCTCTCCTAAACAACCCACAGAAACAACCTTTTATTGTATTTGCACAAATGCAATTTGCACAACTGGTAGCACAGCACTCAGCCTTTTGAAAGCAATACAAATATAGGACAAATTAATACACACAGAAGATAGCTGGAGATACCAAAACAGTTTGAATAAGTCTAAACCCCCCAGCAGACACCACGATTTGACAGTCAGTCAGAACCTGGCTGGTATTATGCTTTGCTAATGTATTCCAGGCTCAGCACTTTTTAAAACAAGGGTTTTTTTTTTCCAGCCTCTGAACAAGAAATCCAACAATTTTCAGAAAAAGGATACTAGTTGTTTCCTGGGCAAGTATGAGCACTGGCAATTATGCCACGTGTAGCTAAAACTCTCCTTAGTTTTGGTTGGCTAGAGTTATTCACCTTCAGTCCAAAACTTGTATAATTCTCCAGTGTTCATCCACTTGAAGGTGTTTTAGTCAGAAGGGAGCGGCAATTTGTGGTAAATGCATTTGGTTTTGGAAAAAGAACTAATAGAAAGCAACATTACCAGGAGAAACACTTGTGATTTAAGCAGGTTATTTCCCCTCCTCAGCAAAGAGTTCATTGCATGGGGAGGGAGACAAGTAGAGAGATAAATACAGTGTGTGTGGTGAGAGGCAAAAGGAATCAAAGTTTGGACAATACTGCTGCCCCCCTCATGCCCCAAGCAGTCTAAATCAGATCTTAATCATTATAAGCCCTTGGGAAGAAACAGTGACCAAAATGTCATTTGCTACATAGCCCTGTGACCAATTTATACAAAGCAGGTGGGTGGTGTTTTGATGCAAAACTGCTTGACACTGATTTCAGTTGAAGTCCTTTAAATTTTTATATTGTGTGCGCCATCATCAGTCTAAATTCATTAAAGAGTTACACCCTTAACAAGATTCTGAATAAGATATGGGAATTGATTCTGAATGAGAAGTACAGAATCCCACTGGAAACAGCTTCACATCACATGGTTTTAATCCAGCAGAGCAGATGCTGCTAGGGAATACTAGCAGCACACTTCTTTGCAATAAACAGTTTAAAAACATGTCAGTGGTTTGTCTTCAAATTATGTATGAATCCAACTTGGTTCCAGGCTTCACCTGCAGGCACAGCTTCAGCTGTGAGCCTTGTTTAAAGCAAACACTGTCAGAGCAATGTGGTGGGTTCTGCTGTAAGTGAAGCGCAGCAGAGCAGGGCCCTGGGTCTGAAAGCCACTGTCAGAGCATTTCAAAGTGACAGAGCTCCAATACCAAAGTTATTAGAGTAGGAGTTTGGAAGAGAGAGAGGTTAATTCTGCAAATGGAGCTATAAGTCTGTCTCAGTATCAGAGCCAGGAGCTAGGGAAGGCAAGGCACTTCCATTCCTCAGTGGAATGTTGTTTCCTCACCCACCCCACCCTCTCCCCACAACATTTTAACTTACATGAAACATTAATACTGAAGTAGATAAAAAGCTTTTGACTTGAGTGCCAAAGAGCCTTGAACATCCTCCACCCTCCAGGGCCAGGACTGTGCAAGGAGGCTGCCTGACTCATTAACCAGTGTTAAAAAAGCCCTGTTTTCAAACCATCTTAAATACTAAACCTACAGTTCAAATAGACTTGCTGTGTATGGATTGATTCTGACCATTATTTATTATTTACAGGGAATTCCTTTCAGTTCAGCTGGTAATGTTCTCAGGAAGTTTTCTTATCACTGAGAAAAAAACCCACACAAGACTAGAGGTGTTGCACTGTGCTCCAAAATGTTATCTGGATAGACTAGATCAGGTAAAGAAACTTAACAGCTTTTATTACTTCCATACTTTGATCTTGTCTTTTAAAATTTGAACACAATTTAAAATTAGGTACACAATGAGAAAAAATAAAATCTCTGTTTTGGAAAACTAGATAATGAAATACTAATTTTCAGCAGCACTCCAGAAGTAGGTATTTATTTGTATGCTGGTAGTGAATGGAGCAGCTGCTGAGAAAAATCTGGGTGTGTACACAAATTCCTGTGTGGGAAATAAACCAATCTTCTTGAGTAGATAATCCTGGATTTAATCTGTTCAGGTACAACTACCACTGTGGGCTGTGGTGGCAACACCTTCACCTTCCATGATTGTGTGGACAAAACTTGTAATTTTCTAAAGTAACACATCCTCACACACCTTTCTACCCCACTGTCCACTACCCCCCAAAAAATTTATTTGGTCCCAAATCACCTCTTTTCCCATCAGTTCCCCTCTGTCTTGACAAAGTAGGCTTTTGAACCATGCCCTGTGCCTTAATCCTGTGCTAGGAGAGCCAGTTCCCAGTTCTCAAGTGTAAGGTGGAAGCAGGCAGTTTTGCATCACTTCAGAATAGTTTGCATACCACGAATCGTGCGAGTACCACAGCTTGGGAAATGCTCAGCTAGAGCACGGCTGTTACAAGAAATTAATCACAGCATCACACAATCTAAGGACTTTGACATGGACTGAGAACTTTCAGAGGGCTTTTCTTGCAACCTCATCCTCTCCATAGGGTAAGTTTCCTTCCCAGTGAAGCTTTTTGGTTTGCTGAGTAAGAATCTTCAACGTTCTTGCAATCAGTGCAATTCCACCGAGCCCACCCAGAGCAAACAGTGACGTGTGATTTAGAAGGCACTAAAGATAATGCCACATATTTCACCTAAGGTGCACATTACTCCACGAGGACACTCAAAAAAGCTTTAAAAGTTTTATATTTCTGTGGAGTATTCTCTCCTCTGGGAACTCCAAACTGTTTTATAAGTTGATTTACCTGTTATGCAAAGGCTGCTTTACCTGGCACTTAAGCTGAGGTAACTCTCTTTTAAGTATAATGGGGCAGATGTTCCTAATCAAGACATGTCTGTGCTACACCAAAGTTTAGAGAGAGTAGAAAAAGGATGATGAAATTGCCTGTGGAAAAGCTGCATACAACAGAACTCTTCAATTTTGACTTCTGTTATCTCTAGGCAAACAACCTGGAGGACCTGAGAAAAAAGCGAGGTGATGTTCTGTTAACTTCATCAGGAGATAAAGATATTCACCATTTTACAGGTTTAACAATGAAATGCATGGGGAGGTCATGAGACTGGGTGTTCACTGTAGGCTAAAGGTGGGCTCTGATGCTGCCAATACCTTTATTGATACATCTCATTGATTCAGGCTACATTCTGTAGTAAGAGAATAAAAAAAGATATAATCAGGAAGTTTGAGCTACCTGCAGTAATTTAATTACATTTGCTTTCAAGGCATACAAACAGCACTATGATAAGTTCTACCCTGTTAGGGCACGTGTCACATCTGACACCTTCAAGCCTCATTTATTCCAGTGGAATCTATGTGGCCCCTAAAGCATAATTTAAACTTGTAGATTTATCAGGCACTGCTAGGTTTACGTTTGGCATTTCTAGGATGATGATCCCCTCCCTGCACTAAACAGAAAACACTAATTCCGGTTCCACTTTTTATTAATTAACATTTTAATGAACACAGGGTAAAGCTCTTCCTTCCTTACCTTTACAGAAGCTTAGCAGAACAACACAGTGCCTTTGTGGGGGAGTGTTCCTATTTAAGAGCTTTTGAACACATCCAACATCTGAAACAACCTACCTGGTCAATTCCTGCATTTTTGGAATGTGGGATGAGAAACCCACCTCCTTTTTCATTGTGCTGTTTCCTGCTCATAACAACCTTTATACAGCTGTCACAAATTCATCAATCATCTACTGGAGGTTGTTTAGGGCCCTGCTTCCCCAGCAGTTACAAACCCAGTTCCAGTCCAAATTGGTTGGTTTATCCCACGTGCTGCTGTGTTTTCACCTCCATATTTTTCAAATGTTGCTGGTTGTGCCTCCAAACGTTTTCCTTCGTAGCCGTGTTGTGTGTCAATTGCTCCTTTCCCACACAATTTTGTTTGCTGTTTTAAAATTCAGTGCCTGCTGTCATTTGTGCCTTACAGAGGGTCCACAGAGTTTCACTCGTTAAAAATGCATCCCTAGCACCTTGTGAAACAGGTAGTTCCAAGCAATTCTAAATTTGAAATACATTTGCTTTCCAGGAATATAAATCCTACTTCTTGCACTACTTAATTTCTTTGTGTTAACTCACAATTCTGCACTAAAAAAACACACTCATTCAGGGTATTAAGTGGTACTCCTGCACCAATAATCTTTTGATGATATTATATATAAAAGAATTTCCTGCAGCAACAAACAGTGAGCTGGGGTTGTAATAAGACCTGCCCTGTTTTGTTGCTCTACAGGGTAGAACTGAAGGAGAAGAGGAACTTGTCTGTCAGACAAGCTTTTTTCCAGGTGTGAAACAGCAACACCTCACAGCTGCAAAATCAAAAGTGAACAATCTGCTCTCCAAAAACGAGTTTCACATACATACACACAGAAGGAGTAAAAGAAAAGAGCCCGTTCTGGAGACCAGACCTGGCAGAAATACGAATCAAATACTGTAAATTATTTATGTGGGTACTTCTTTCTGAAAGCCTGTCAGATTGATTTATAACCACATCACTTATGCACGAGTCACTTTAGTCCTTGCAAGGGAAAGACAGCAGGCTTTTGAACTGAGAGTAATGGTCTGGGGCTTCAAGGGAAAAGCAGCCTGTCCAATTGTAACTGGAAAGGCTGCAGATTTCCCAAATGCAATTACCAGACAAGAAATTAATCCAGGCTGGAAACTGAAACGTGAACTCCCCAGGAGCTGTGGGAGATCTGTCAAACTGTGCATCACAAACCCCTCTGTGATTACGGGTACAGATGACACTTCTGGCAGCAGGACCGTGTTAAGCTCACACTAATTAAGTTAGGACAAAAAACCTCAAAGCTTTAAAGCTCTCTGTTTTCCTGCTTTGCTCCAGGTTGACACTTGTTTATTGTTAAATGGAAAATCATTTACGCTTGAAATCGGCAGAAACACTCCAGGCACGGGCAACCCTGTATCTGTTTTCATCCCTCTGCTTTCTTAGACAGCAATATAAAGCATCCCTTTTTTGGGGACACTTTAGACTTGACAGCATGCACTTATGTAAAATTAATGAACGGAGAGTAAAGCTCTTCCGTCCTTACCTTTACCAGAAAGTAATTTAAAATGGATTCTGTGCTCCTGCAGCTGAAAAGGGAGTTCAGGTTATCGACACCTCAGTGGGTAACGAGACCTGTGAGAGGTCTGAATTATATTATGATAATATATATTATATATATATAAATAATATAATGTATATTGTAATGGTAACGTATGGTACAAAATATAATAATACATAATATACAAAACATATAATTAAAATATAGATTATATAGTGTGATATGGTAATGATATTGTGATATATATAATACAGTACAATATGATAAGTGCAATTATAATATAAAGGTATTTCCCGCAACAAGACACTAATTGAAACAGTGATAATTAGCACGCCAATCAATAACTGCGCCATTCCTTGGGCAATCTCACGGATCCGTCCGATTTGCCACAACCTCTCGCTTCAGCCTCGCCCGCGAACAGCGGATAAGGACTTTAATGCAGGTTCTGGCTCCTTATCATTCGTTAATTATTATCCTAGTACGTATACTGTAATAATAACGAAATAATGGAATAAACTGGGACTGTGACGATCCCGCAGCGGGTCAGTCGCTCCGTCCGCCGGCGGCTTCCTTAAGACGTGCGCGCCCGTCGGGCCCGTGTCCGGGCTGTGTTCCGTGCCCGATCCCGATCCCGATCCCATTCCCGATCCCATTCCCATTCCCGCCGTACCTGAGCCGGGAATCGCTCCTCCGCCCCGCTCGCGCTTCCCGCCCGGCGCCGCCGCCGCTACGGGCCGGCAGAGCGGACAAACCTCGCCAGGGCTGCGGCAGCGCCGGGGGCGGGGCCTGGGGCGGGGCGGGGCGAAGGGGGAGCCCGGCCGTGCGGGCGCGCGCGCGGGTGGGCGGGGCCTGCGCGTGTCTCGCGCCTGGCGCGCGGGCGGGAGCGGGAGCGCCGAGCGGGGCCCGGCGGAGCCGCCCCAGCCCCGGCTGCTGTCCCTGTCCCTGTCCCTGTCCCTGTCCTGTCCCTGTCCCTGTCCCTGTTCCTGTTCCTGCCCGGCCCCTGCGCTGCCCGCGGCCGCCGCAGCCGGTGAGGGGCCGCGCCGCGCCGGGACTGGGCGGGGAGGGGAGGGTTAACGCTGCTCGGCGGCCGCTGGGGGGAGCGCGCCGGGGCGGGGCGGGGCCTGCGGGCGCCGGTAGCTGCGGGAGCAGCCGCCGCGCTGGGCAGGGGCTGTGGCGGCGGCGGCGTTGGCCGGGCAGGGTCCGGCGGGGGCTGCGGCGCTGGAGCGCAGGTGGGTCCGGGTCCCGGCGGGGGTGCGCGGGCTGTGCCGCGCCGAGGGAGGGGGCGGCCGGGGGGGTCGCGGCCTCGCCCCGCCGGGCCCCGCACGCTGTCACCGCCCGCGGCGGGGCGGGGCGGCCCCGGCACGGCCCCGGGCAGCGCGGCCACATCACCCCGCGTCCTGCCGGGCACTGCCCGCGGCCGGGCGGGGTCCGGCGCTGTCTCGCACGGTCGGTCATTCCTGCGCTGCCCGCTCGCCCTCCCCGGCCGTGCTTTTCCGTCCCTCCTCGCTCGGTCTGTCCTTGGGAAGCGCTCGCTTTTGTTGTCTCAGTCACCTCAGTCCGAGGTGATGGGGAGCGGTGCCTTTCTGCCCAGACCTTGCGGCGGTGTTGGGGTTTTTGTGTGTGTGTTTTCCTTGCGAGCGCTGAATGGTCACGTTTCGTGTATTTTATCGCATCTACTACGGGGTGAGCGTCAGCTGACACGGTGCTTTGTTTCTGGGTCTGCTGCCATCCTGGAGCCCGTGTTAGGAATTGCTGCCCTTCCACATCTGCCTCGTCGGTGGCGTGAGCTCCGAATCTCAGTTAGGAAGTCTGTAATTTATTTTACCTGGAATGTTGCGTGTGCGCCCTGGAAGTTCATGTAGTGGTTCGTGCCGACCTGGTGTGAAATGGTTCAAAGCGAAGCCCCACTGGAAATGGGAGAGACTGGGAGATGCGAAGAAAAGATGTAACGAAAGCCCCACCGAGGCGGGGGGTGGTGGATGGGGGTGGTGGAAGCGGTACGGGAGCCAAGGGAATGAAAGCAAATGGGTAGAAATAGGATTGTTCTGAAGAACAATGCATGTTTATCATTTCGTCCGAGCTCGTTCTGGGGGGCCACGCTAATGCACGCAGGGTGGTTGTAGCTGGATAACGCGTTACCTCAAATCCAACAGGCTGTAACCGCAAAAAAGTTGCCTGGTTTGGCTGTAGGGCTGTAATTCTCAAACAATGGCCAGCTGGGCTAAGGTGTCTCCAGCAGTAACCTCCGCCAGCTGCCTGCCCTCCTTTCCTCCCTGAGATTAGGGCGTCTGTAGCCGTAGGTGGCTGAGCACACATCTCCTCCTGAGCCACAGCCTGACATGCTACTGGAGTTTGTGTTGAAAACTGCAGCAGCTCAGATGTGTGCCCCCATTCAGGGTCACTTATGAGTCAGCACCCTCACAGCCATTTCGAATAGGATGGGAAGAGAGAAATCACCTCCTTGCCCATGCTGCTGGGACTAGAGCTGGTAGTACAAGAGTTGAATTTTTTTTCAGTAATTTTTGGATTAAATCAGTAGTTATTTAGTTAACTGCTGTATGGAATGTAGTTCAGTTTTGGAAGCGCAGTTCAGAACTTTTATGACAGAACAGCAGTTTGTGGAACAATCAAGTCTATGACTTTACTATGTCAGCCAGAATTTTGGAATTGTCTGAATCCATCAAGCTGCAAGAGGGGCTGCAGCTTGAAAAAGTTGGGTATCTGCTGAGTGAAATGTGAGTTTATCATAATATTTGACATAATTTGAACTTTTTCCACCACTTCTTGGGAAACCAATTTTAGTTGTAATTAAATCACTGTAAAGATGTTAGCAGAAGCCCAAACTGAACAAAGCCTGCTATCTGGGCTAGACTACAGCATTGTGTTTTTCATAACATTTGACATTCTTTTTGATCCTGTCACAGGCTTTTTTGAGATTTTGTTCACATAACTTTTCATCTGTAATATGTGACTAATGGCCTGACTAACAGAAAAACCAGGTTTTGTATGGTACGTAGTCTATACCTTTTTGCTGAATTGCAAATCTTGGTGATGAAGGAAACCTGGTTGGCTTTTTTAGGGGGTTTTGTGATTTGGCGTTTTTATTTTTTTCCCCCTCCTTTCAGTCTGCCACTTTCTCAGTTCCTGGAAGCACTTATCTCTGCTGCTGAATGAATAGAAATATTTCACCATACTATTGTAACCAGTGTGTGAGTTCCTCACTGTTATTGCTTATTTTGTGAAGCAGGATACTCTCCCATTGTTACCCCTCCTCCCCTCACCCCTCCCTATTTTCAAGCCTGTTCCCCCCCCCCAAATCCTCTCTTTTGTGTGAGAGGTTTGTTACAACACTTACCTGTCTAAGCCACTGGTAAACTATGTTATGTTTAGAGGGTCTGGCTTGTTTTAGCTGAGGATGGTTTGATCAGAGATGTAAATATGGAGCCATGCATGTGGCTTTTTTAATAATTGCTGGAACTAAAACAGCAATGTATCTTCTTGACCTTTGCTGGCTACTCTGCCACAAGAGCACCCTGGGTGAGGAGGATTCTATCCATGGCTGCCTGTTTAAGCCAGGAGTTTAACTCTGTGGCATTGGTAGGGCAGGAGATCCTAGAAAATCCAGTGCTGACTTAGCAAAAGTGGTGTTTTCTAGCATGTGATTTATATCAATATTGTTCACGTGACTTTGTTGTCAGGGCGAGATTATGATGGAATTTCTGTGGCTGGAGGATGCTTTGCCTTGCACAGTGATGTTACCCATGGTGACTTGAGGCTGGCTGTCTGCATGGGTTCACTAGTGCTTCTAGGTACCTTCTGGGCTTCTGCAATATCTTTATTGCTTTTTGCATTTTGTTTCAGCTGTTAGAAGGTGGGTTGTTGGTTCTGTGCCACCTGTAGGGAAGAGAGAAACAGCCATGGGTACAAACACCTGTTTGTTACTTTACTGACTTTATACTCTAAAATTCAGGCTATAAACTAGCCATACAGTGACAGAAAATTAACATCCACAGGTTTTCAATCTTCTAGGTAATTAGAAGAGTGAGAATTATTTTAATCAGTTTATCACTAGGAAGTGATAGGTGCGAGTTCTGACTCCTGTTGCTTTTTGTGTTTTGGACCTTGTTTCAAAAGAGGAAGGGCACATGATAATTTTTTTTCCTCACATCTGCTTTAAATTTAGAGACTTATAATTATATGTCCCAGTCACTGCACAAAACAAATGCTGATGCACCTACCCAGCCTTCCCACATGCCGGTGTTAAGGAGGTAGGGCAGGGAGGGACGATGTGGATCCAGTTTCTGGTAAACCCAGAGGCAAGAACCAGTTTGAGAATGGTCATATCTGCACCACGTGCTAATCCTTCTGTAACAGACTCAGTCAGTGCTTAAGGCTGCAGGAGAGACTACGTGCTGGGACAGTGTCCAAGACTTCTGCCACACCTGGGAAGCCTTTCAGTGTGATGTCCAGGTAGCGTTAATCAGTATGTGCTCCAGTCTCTGGGGGAAGACAGAGAAGCTTCTGTTTGTGTACAACAACTAGAACAGAAAGAACTTGCTTGTGCCACCCAAATTTAGTGACTGGGTTGACTCGTAGTACACTGGGTGCAGAACCACTGAAATCTGACAAGTGAGATGAAGAAAGGCTTTTAGAAATATCAGTAGTGCCTCATGTTCTGCCTCAAGCTGAGGCTGACCTCCAGAGCTCTAGGAAAAAATCCTTATATGCAAATGGCATATCAGAATGAGTATATAAATATGAGTAAATAAAGGTTTGGCTGAAATAGATTTATTATAATAATAGTAAGACTTTTCTTTTTGTGGTCTTGTTTTTTGGTAAGAAGATATAAGGGAATGAAGGTGTGGTGGTGAAAGTGTACCCTTTATGCTAATACCAAGATTATGGAAGTTATAAGAAACAAAATTTGATGTCATTTAAATCTGCTTTTGCGAAGGAACTGTTGTAGAGTAGAGTATGTTCTGTCTTCCTTGTTGAGTAAGTAGATCCCATGAAAGGAGCTGTATACCTGTGGGAGACAAATTAGGAAGCTAATGAGTATTTCTGGCTCTTGTTTAAAGACTCACAGCTAGCGTTTTCTGGATGGGCTATCTTGTAGGAATAGGAAGCAGAATGGTATCTGAAAGGGTCAGATCATCGAGATGTTTCCATGTCCTGTGGTGATTTAAAGTGTCTGTGTGCCATTTATGCTAACCTTTCAAATGAAGAAACTGTGTAACGGGAATGTCACTTTATGTTTGGAAACAAAACACTCCTTTGACAAATGACTGCTGTTTTTTTCCTCAAAATGTTAGGGTTGGGGTTGATGACCTGCCTTTTACAAAACATGTTTTTTTTTTTAATATGTGAAAGTCACCTCGAGATTATTGGGGATTTTTGAGATGCTGTTCTGGGAAGATTTCTCTGTCATGTATGTGGGGAGAATATATCAATTCCCATCTTCTTATGTTTGGTGAGACAGAACAAAGGCTCTGCTGCATTCAGTGAACCTGGCAGATGTGCGAGTAGGTGAACTCAATTTAAAAAAACCCAACCAATCACCACCCCCCAGCTTTTAAAAAGGATTGGATATAAACAGATGGCAGCGCTTGGGCTTCTGTTTATGTGCTATTTAGGAATGAGAATCAATCCTAATATGAACAGTTATTTTTTGGACTTCTTTCTGTCTTAATTTCATTCATCCCTTGTGCTTTCTTGCTCTTAAAGCCACAAGGATATTTTGATAAACAACCCTGAATTCCGTGGGTTCTATGCCTTGTGTCCAGCACTGCCTGACTTGCAATTAGTTTGCAGAGTAAACTTTCTTCTGTCCTTTTTGTGTGTAATAGTCGTTAAATTATCATAAAAAGTAGTGAAAAAATTAAATTGTAATGAAAACTAGCTTTCTTACCTTCCAAAACCAATCAGTGAAAGCTGAAATCTACAATATAGCCCTAAGTTAAAGGCTTCAGACTTTTTATGTAAAGTAAACATAGCAACTGTAGCGTTTATAACTGTGGTGGTGTGCAC